AATGTGGCTTATCAGGTTAGTGTAGCCGGTTTTACTGTCTTGTTTGCGAATCTTGGAGCAGCGACAGCGAAAATATCCCGTCGGCTCATCCTGGTTGTCAAGAACGGGCTTGAAGAAGAAGTCACAGACTTGCTTGTTAGTGAAGGGAGTTGTCGAAGACATGGTGAATCGGAAAATGAGGAGGACTGATCTCGATGCACGCCCAAGGACTTGCCAACCAACCAAGCAGTGGCTGGCTCTCAGTTTTGCTTAGCTGAGATTGGGCAGTATTGTGAAGCATGGGCTACAAATAATTTATGACGATACCGGAAATACATTACTGAAATTTTTCATCATAACTGAAAAGTAAATTATTCCATACTAATATTGCCATATTATTTTCACTGCAATGTATTATTCGGAAGGCCTGGACGTGGACAACATTGTCCAGCGATTCAAGGACAAATTTTGATGCAGGCTCGACGATGACAACGCTTGTGCACAAGCACTTACCGAATTCGCAGCAGTGGATGGTAACGTGGTGACTGTGAACGAGACTAACGCTGGGCACTCCGGTGTTTCGAGGCACCCGCGAGACATGATCGTACGCTTTTTCGATTTGTTGCTAGTGGATTGCACGCACAAGACCAAACGATGCGTTTTTATTTGTATCGTCCATGTATTGGTCATGTATTGGCCATGTACCTCATACTATTCTGGTCCAATGTTGCTAGTTACTATCTACTGTGAACTTTGATGGTCATCGACGATAACGGTCGTGGGCAGCCAATTCAACAGTCGCTTATCGAAAAAATGCTGACTGGCACATGTCACGCGCCTTGAATCATTTGGTTCGAGTTGAAGCCAGGATCGGCGATAAGGTGCAAGCTAACATGGTCGATAACGACTTGAACAAGATTCGAGCTCTGAAGACGTACTTCCCAGGGACCGTGTGCTGGTCTGCTTATTTTACGTGATCAAGTACGTGCGCACAGCTTCACGAAAGTCCGAGTATAGGAAGATCTCGCCAGATGACCATGACGCAATCGACACCCTCGTGCACAACATGGCTTGTTCCGTGAGCGAAAATATATACACCAAGAATTGGGACTCGGTGAAGGCACTGTGTGCACGGACGGGACTCATCAATTTTCTGGAATACATGGACGAAAACTGGAACGAATGCACGGACATGTGGGTCAAGTACAAACGGGCTCGGCTTGTACATTTGCGCGTTCACACTAATAACCATTTGGAGACTTGGTTCGGTCACTTCAAGGAGTCGGTTACCCACACAACGTCGATGACGGAAACGATCAAGGCTCTCGTGGGAGCTGACGCACGTACGTCGAGCGAGTATTTGTTCCGCAAGAACCGCGTGGGACTGAGAGTGAGCCGAAACTACGATGAAAAAAATGTGTCAAGTGCTGCACCTTACGACGCACTTCGTCGCCGAGCATGTGCAGAAGGAGTATGCGACGGCCGTGTCTAAGGAGGATGTATTTCTCTGCGATACGGTCTTCGACCCTGGTTTCATGGTGTTTTCCGGAAAACACAAGGAGTATTACGTCGAGTTGTCGAGCTAGATCTGCTCGTGCTCCTTTGCATGTGCGATGCGTCTACCCTGTCAGCATGCTATCGCCAACCGAAACTGCAACCAGGTATCCGGAAGTGTCAATCCACTGGATCGAATCCATGCGCGGTGAGAAACTGTACATTTTGAGATGTCCATGTATTATCCACGTACTGTAATATCTTTCGTCCAGTTGTTATAATTTAGTGCTGACATCCGCTTTGGCATGTATGCGAACTGCAATTAATTGCACCCGGCAGATCCACACATGACACCTAGACCTATAGTTGTAGACAAATTCAAGCCTGGACAAGCGAAGCAAAATGCACTCGATGCAGCGACCAAGTACGAAGCGACGCTCAGTGCTACGCAGGCTATCTGCAGCGAGCTGGCATATAGAGAATGACGACGAGTGCAAAGAGCATCTTGATTTTCTACTCAACCAGTGGACCAACATCAGGCAGCGGAAGCGTCACGAAATCGCATAAACAAAGCCTTTTGTGGGGACGGTAGGTGCTGGCGACAAGCGTGCAGCTGACGAGACTATATCCGTGAGTTCGCCGTTCAGGATGACAGGCAGTAAGCCAAAGAACCTTTAGAAACAGTATCGATGTCGTTGAGGGGGGGGTGAACAGGACGCGAAAGCACCGCCAGAGTTGTCTATCAAGTTGAACCCGAACGCTGCAAAGTCCGGAAGCCCTTGCTGAAACAGGAAGGAACGCGAGGGCGATGAAAAGAAAAAGCGGGCACTGTTCAGCGAGTCTAAAGATCACCGCTGCAAGGTGGGGGATATTACTCTTGTACAGTTTGCACACAATCTCCATGGAAAGCAGCCGACACTCCAGGAAACGCTAGACCGCGTAAATCCGCTTCCGATCAAATAGGATAGAGCGGGGAGCAAGAAACCGAAGTATGTCCGGCAGAGCGCCCCTGTGCTGAACGATAACGCGTTATATCTCCTGACGAAGAAGCTGCTGGACAAATTTATCTCCGTCCTTCCGGTCATGAACGCGAGAGAGACTGCAATAGAGATGTGTACCCGGAATCATCCTTCGCAAGCTGAACAAGAATATACGGAAATACCTGGACAAGACCTGGAGAAACATGAATAAAACCTGAATACGGGATGTGTTCAAATCTCCGGCTTTGGAATGTTTTCCCAAAGGTAGATTGAGGCTATGCGTTATCTCTCGACAGTGAAGGATCAATGCGAGCAAGGTGTCACGTTTTCCAGCAGCCAGATGCAAAACGTAGTAAGCACCGTACCTTTAGCGCAATATCCCGCGCTGGAAGAGACGGTCAGCCAAGTGGCGAAATCGAACCCACGCAGCACGATCGTGATTCATTCCAATGAGAACCACTACGCGATGCTATACCGCTTTAGCCCGCCATGGTGGGCGAACGACGCGCTGATTCATGCTTTCTGCTTAAAAGATGTGCGCGGCAAACCCTATCGTTCGTGTCATGGGGATCGAGAACACAATGACGGAACGAAAGACGAAGAGCATGAACGAACCTCAAGGCAAGGACGCAAGAGCTGGTGGGAGGCGCAGACCTTCTCTTGATCACGGTTAGCTTTAATAATTTGCACTAGTGCGGAATTGTGGTATAGGTGAGGCGAACTCGAGCCCCGTACTACGACTCCATGAGCGAAAAAAATACATAACTGTGCTGGATCGACTGTCATGGGATCTGATGGATGCTTGAGCGACGACTACGAGACTGTCTCTATCAACGCGCCAGTCCAGAAGGACGACCACAATTGTGGTTTCTACGTGATGCTACGATTCTGGCGAATGGTGGACAGCAGCATTGGACTGGATGTGACTCCAAACGGACTCACGCTGTTGCGCTTTCGCATCCTTCAGTTAATGCTCCACGGTAGCTCTAACTAACCCTATCTAATTTGAGTCTAATACACGGATGGTTTAGAGTCAATGCATGAACTCGATACGCAGACTATAATACTAACGTTGCCTGTGTTCAACTTTGCTCATGCCTAATACATGGATGGTTTGTAAATAATTAATGGACTCAATACATGAACTATAAGACTAGCGTTGCAACTCTGCTCGTGTCTGTTAGCAACATCTTGGTGCGGTGAAGGACTGGTCAGTGCTAATGACTTTATTTCATAATGACTTTAAAATACGCAGTATGTTGTTAATGGACAGTAAATGGGGTGGCTGCATGGATAAAGCAAACGCTGACAAGCATCGGCCAAAAATAAATACATCTAATTATTAGTAGCAAATACGGTATTGTACCGCTAAAATATTTAACTATTGGACTTGATCGTGTTGCAATGATATTCTATTAGGACTTGCAGAAGGTCTAATTCTGGCAGCATACAAAGATCAAATTCAAGATATATAGTCATAATTGTACTATTGGAATAGTGTTCCACAAAATAATTTAGTAAAGAAGAATGGCAAGGCAATACAATTTTATACTGGATTGTCTGACGCTGGTTGATTGTTTGGCAACTAAAGTTTAAGTTTTTGTTAGCAAAATCCGATAACGGAAGGTTAAATGAACTCTGATAATCTTTGATCGGTATACACTATGGAGGTGTCAGCTTTCAGCACTGTGTTAACCGTTATAACATGTCCGTCTCGTGGGTACATGTATCCATACTACAGATTATTAAATACCGACTTTGACGAAGACATTGGTGCATCAAACATCCGTGTCACGACTCGCTCGATGTCGGCCGAAGTTTTTCCGCACTTCGCCAGCTCCACAATGAATTCTTGTCGTTCTCTACCACTAAGAACATTACGCGAAGCAGGTACATTGGGCAGTAACACGAGGCTCGACAATTCTCCATATTCCGCAGTAAAGTACGTTTTTACTTGTACTCTTCACGCCATCCTCGTTGCACTGGACGGCTATTCCTAAATGACACGACATGAACAGCAGATATCCGTCTGGGTCACTTTCAATGCTAAAGCAACCCCACGCACCGACGCTCTTCGGGTCAAAGACACAACTTCCACAATCCGAAACTTGAAGGTAGCGGTCACTATGCGTAATTTGGATGGTCACTTTGTGCTCGCCTACAGAATGTAAAACCACATGCTCGTAGATATCGCGGTTGTCTACAAGACACCGCGCTTTTCTTGATCCAGGTGGATTTAGCAGGTTTTTATCTGATTGCACCGACTGCAGAATAATTGGCACACCGTACGGAATTACCATTAGTACTGAAGTACTACACAATCGAAAATACCAACAAGCCAGAACTGGTAGTTGCTTACTGAGGTCTCGTTGCATCCAACCAAAAGAAAAGCTGTTAATCAAAACTGATTGATAGCATAGTGCATCTACTGACAACTCTGATGATAAAGTATGTGGATTGCGTGGAGCGGGTTGGGCGGTGCTATACTAAATGCCTACAACAAAGAGGTCGAACAAGGAATGTCCCTTTCCGCTAAAACGCACTCGCCTATGATGGCACCTGAACCTTGTCGTTCAAGAAGACCTCGCTCTTGATGGCCACGATAGACGAGAGCTGTCTGCGGTCGGCCTCTTTCCATAAAGTATAGTTCTGTTTTGCTATGTTGTGAATAGCGCCGAACTCCGGCGCGAAGATAACTTGTGCAACTGTGTCGTAGAAAGGAAGTACAATGAACTCGAAAAACCCGACTTGGTTCTGCACAAAAAAATGTACTCGATAAATAAAATAAATATTCGAGAAAATACAGCACAACATACCTTTGCACTGTTCTCTGAATGTCGATCCATGAAAGGTGAAATGTCCGAGTTGTTGGCGCGTTCGTTGTCGCCCTGAAGGAAGAACTCTTCGATGATAAGAGCAGACCAGATAACATGCAGCTTGCGCTTCTTGGCAGCGTGACCAATGTCAGCACACTTAATGACAACCTTCATAATCATCATGGGGTCTGTGACGGGTTTTGGAGCGGGTACAACACCTCCCAACCCCACCCCACTGCTACCAGCCGCAAGGGCAGTCGCTTCTTGAAGTAGCAATGCCTTGAGGTTTCCTACTAATTGCAGGTGCATCGATAAATCAGTACTCAGCACCATCTCAATGATAGCTTTCCGGATTTCTCGATACGGTTTATCTTTCATTCGACCGAAGATATCGCAGAGTGGATTGCGCATAATGAAAAAGGTCTCTGCGAGATGCATGCTCTCCAGGATACTGCGGTCGTTGTATTGCAGAGCCAAGTCGTGTTTTGCCTTGATAAGATAATTGTTTGATTTCCCGGGATGGCGGAAATCGTGGATAGCTGCAGCCACAAGCGCCGCATAGAACTCGAGATTCGTCAGCGTATCTCGGATCTGTCCGTCCGCTAGCGTTGTGATAAGGAAGTTCACCGAGTTAACGACGTCAGCTGCGTGGCTACTGTTGTGATATGGGTTGGCGAGGTACCCATCGTCCAGTTCGTACAGAAAGTTACGCAGAACCACACGGTCGACGCGGAATTCTTCATGTAGTTCGTGCAGCTCGAACAATGCTGCGGTGACGTACATAAGTGGCCGGTTGCCGGTTAGATCGGCAATTTGAAGCGTGTCTAAATCCCACCCGTCTTGCTGAATACGTTGCTTTACTCGTACTAAAGTTTGCTCCTCCCAGGTAGGCATATCTGGTAGTGGAGCGATGACCATGGAGCTAGCGATCCCTCCGGCGCCAGTAAGTAAGCCATCCCGACAGCTTCTTCGGTTGCTATTTGAGTTGGAATGTGAACTGTGGGACATGGCTACTCCAGAGCGAGTAGTATCGGCATAGTCCTTACGTGCAAGCACAGATAAAGCCCAGTTCTTGGTGTCATTGTCCACTTCCTTTTCAGATTTCATCTGTGCACTGATATCTGGAACGAATAGATTCTGATCTAGACGTGCTAGATTACGAACGATAACCATACCACGTTGCATGTCCTCGTCACTCAAGTCCACAGTATCAAGGAACGACTTTAGCTCTGCCAGTAAGGCATGTAGTGGCGATGTCAAATCCAAGTTGAATTCGCTGTCACGTTGCGCTAACTCCTGCTTTAAGGTGCGGTTCTCTTCGGCTATTAAGTTCTTCTCTCGAGTAGCTTTCTCGGCCTCCAATTCCACTGCCCAAACGTGTAAAAAGTCTTGACGGACCACACGATCTACGTCTCGGTTACGAACCAGCATGGCTAGAGTAAACATCATCGGGAAGCAGATAACCAAAACTCGGTTAAGAATAAATGGCGTCGAGTCTGTAACCGGGTAGAAGATCAGTGTTAAAGCCATGTAACTGGCACTGGTGATAACGCCAACCAACGCAAAGTGCAGTGTGTCAATACGTAACAGTGGCACGAATACGAATATCATGATCAAGCGAAGCAAGTTGATGTTCATAGTGGCGGAAGGTAGTAGAATCTCCTTAGTGTACGCCTGCAACACCTCAGCTCGAGTGCCGGAGATCGCCTTGAACTGCCAATCACTTCGCACCGAGCTGTTCACATAGAAAATGCGAGAGTCATCGACGTTTGCGATCCCCAGTTCGTCCAGGATAACATCCACGTCCTTGGCCACGTAGTTGTACCACTCCGTAAGCATGGAGAACATGCCACCGGCAATGATTGAGAAGCTCCAGCATAGCAACATCAGTGTGTAGATCCGTTGAAATTGGATCTCGTATGTTCGTCTCCGACTGATGTAAACGAGCAAAGGGATCGGAAGGATCGGAATAAACACCAGCAGGAAATACCGGAAACTTTGGGAGCGAACACTCGAATCTTTCGAAAGGAGATTGGACAAATTTGACCCCGTGAACACAAGGTACATGAAAAAGAAGATCAGAGCCATCCGCGACGACCGGGCCGAGTTCTCGCGTGCAAAAGTGACCTGATACAGTTTCTCTAGTCGCGGTTCGTTCACAAACGTGCTTGTGAAGGGGTGGAATTTCACTTCCACGGGAGTCTTCTTAGTCTGCGCCACATACACTGAATCTGTTAGCGGGTAAATGCGCGAGACTCGTTGGTTCGCGCGGTCGTTTAATACTGTGTTGATCGCCTCCGAGCCGTGGTGGCCTGCATGATTGTAGGTTGTTCCGTTACCACTGTATATTGTTGTTCGCATGCCGGCATCCTTCGGATCTTCAGGATTTGCAAGGAACAATGAAGTGCTCTGTGCGCCTGACGCCACGGCACTGGGCGCCGAGCGCTCGTCCTCTTTTAATCCACGCGTCTTGACGGATGCGATGCGCACCACCTGCCCTGCAGGTGTGCTTGGATTTTTGCGACCACGGAGAGTCAGCGGACTCTGGTCTCCTGGTCTCTTTTTGCTGTCCTCGCTTCGACCACTATCCGAGTGGTGTGAGAATATCTGCACCTGGTCACGATCGACTTCCCCAGACCTTAGAAACTGCTGCAACCTCAATGGCGTCTGCGGTGCCGGCGAGGACTCGGACAGTGTAGGCAAGGAGCTGGAGAAGGAGAGCAACCTCCGGAGATTACCCAAAGAACCCAGTGCTCCGAAATGAGGGGGTGAAGCAAATCTCCCCACGACACCCGGAAGCGGGAAGCTCTATCTAGTGTACTGTGTTCTACGCTGCTACGGTCGACGCCAACCCCGCGGACAATCCGTATTCACTGTTGCGTTGCGCTTTCTTGAGCTTTCTCGAGGCACTTCCACTGGATTGCCACTTCATAAACAAGGAGAGGAAGCTATTGTTGTCCCACCGAGCTTCGTGGCGAAACGGATCGTAGAGCAGTAGGCTACCAACGGGTCTCCATTTAAGGCCGCTATTATTAGGGAGTGGTAAGGCTATTTGCATCGAGACGGTAGAAAGGTGCTGATTATTGATTGCTTGCTTCAATTAATGATTGTGAACCCACGAACGAAGCGACGTCCGTCACTATAGAAATGATAATGATATCATCGCCACAATGACGAAGCGAGACGGTGTACATCGCCGTACTTGTATTAGCACTGCCTTCTTCTTCACCGCATCTGTACTGCTAAATTAGCTGTAAGATACAGATAGAAGGAAGTGCTTCGACAAGTTGAAGATGGATCATCTTGTGGAGTTATTTACATCAAATGATGCTATCATTACCTACTTCAAATTGATTCATCAACAGACCGACGACTCGCTCTGCGCGCCCCCACGGAACGATTTGTCTGCAACGATGTCTGAGGAGCTGTATGCAAGTCCGATCAGCCAGCCGTCGCGTGCTGGTATGTCGGCAGCAATGTCCTTGTAGCTCGCTAAACAATTGTTGACATTCTCATTTTATGTGGCATTTCGAAGTCTATTGGCTCTGCAAGGTGAACAATCACCCCATCGAGTACAAGTACACGAATCCAGGCAAAGGGGAGACTCGCACAGAGACATTTCTTCAACTGAGTCCTATCGGCAAGATTCCTGTACTAAAGGATGGGGATTTCGTCCTTACCGAGAGGTTTGAAACGTGCTCATGAAATCATAGTTGCAGAATGTTTAACAATTTGTTTTGCCATATAAGCCATGCGATCATGCTCTATCTTGCTGACAAGCACGGGTGGGAGTCATGGTGTCCCAAAGATATTAAGATCCGTGCTCGTGTAAGGAAGGACACTGGCATCTGACTTGCTTTGGCACTTACCCACGGCGTTGTGCATCTATTAGATCCAAGAGTATACGAATTGGCACCACCTTAACGCGCGCCGGAGCTCAGAGATCTTCTTCAACCAGCTGATGGTGAACATCGGCCGCGGTACGCCTGCTATGGAAACCATGCTTCAGAAGAAGCACAAGATCATCTCGGACATGTTCCGTATCTTGGAATTCTGGCTGCGTCACGGAAACCTCTATTTGGTGAGCAGCACCAAGCCGACAGTCGTGGATCTGTCATGTTACAACGAAGTGGTGCAGCTCGAGGTTATGGGACTTCTCACCGACGTGGAGAAGGACTTTCCCAAAGTCGCAGCGTGGCTCAAGCGCATGAAGGTAAAAAAACGATTTATCCTTTGATTTTTGCGATAAAATTATTCAATTCGACGTTTGTAATTAATTGCTGATGCCTCTGCAGGACATTCCGTACCATGACGAGATGCTGGCACCCATGGGCAAGTTCTTCCATAAGTTCAAGCTGACTGCCAACCTGTAGTTCTGCTCTTGGTGAATGGGCATTAAATTTCAGCCAATTAAGTTGCTTTAAAATTTATTTGATTGGTCAAAATTTGCTGTGTGGTTCATGCACGTCTTCACTTTTACTATTGGAGCAGGAGACGAGCAATATGTCGGCGGTGGCGAAGACCTTTAAGAACGCGTTTCAGGTGTTGACCCCCGTGCGCGAGTACGGCGTGGGCAAGCGTGTGACGCGTGACATCTGGTCCAAGTACGCGGAGCCTTCGTACTGGGAGGTGGTGCGCATCCGTCCGTCTTCTGACCTCAAGCACGGCAAAGTCTTCGGCAAATTTACCTTCCGGGGTGCGGTGGGTCGTTGCTACTGTAGATCGCTCGATAAATTACTAACAGTGTTTATATATGAACGACGAACAGGTAAGACGGACCCCCAGGTAAAGCGCATCAACGGCGTCTTGAAGAAGGACTGGAGCCTGTTTGAAGCTTAGACAGAGACATTGGGCTGCAAAATCACTTGATAGAGGGGACGGAATTGCCAGCATTTGTTATCGGGCAGGGAAGAAGTAACGTGTATACATACGTGCGAATGGGGGTGTGCAGTGCAACGCTGCTGTCGGCTCGATAAGAGTGCAATACACGGCGAGTATTATGTCACAATAGCGATTGGTGTGGTGGCGTGTGTTGCTATTGCTGTAAATTTTGCTCTAAGCTCTACGTTCCATCGAATCTTGGCAATGGAGTGACAACTTTAGATAACTGTCACCCCAGCTTCTTGCGTGGACAAGATGCAGCTGCCTTTATTTTTGCAAGTTGCCCTGACCATTTCCGATTTTCCCCGCTCAAACTCTCCCTTCAGCTCCCTTTTTCGAGCATGGATCTACCTCACATCCCGTTCGACGAGCCTGTCATCCTCACTCGATTCGTAAGCACAAGAACCAGCAGAACTCTGTCCGTACCAAGGAGGCTAAAGACGACCGCGTTTTGTACTACGTACGTAGTACGAGGAGCTCGTGCTGCGTCACCAGCTCGCTACCTCAAAGTTCGCATGAACGATGACTGTGCGTTCGACTTCGAAACTTCTTAGCGACCAGAGCTCAAGACCAGCTCAGCCTGCTCGCTCTACTTCGTGTCCTGCACCTCCGAAAACATTCTGCAATGCAATAGTGAGCTTGTTATCAAGAGTGGGGACCACAGCCGACTGGAGCCGGAGCCACACGAGCACTGTCGTGCAGTCTACTCCAAACCAGCGAGCTGACAAAGTGCGGTGAGACACCTAGCAGATAGTCACTCGGCAATTGGATCGCCTGCTATGAGCATGCCAAGCTCGTCAACTCGTTGAAGTTGCCTTCAACTACAGAACCTATCTTATGTCATCCCTTAACCTATCTAAAAACATTGCGTTGAAGGTCACATTCGAGAATTAACCAAATCAAATCTTTCGTCGCCACGTGGTAGAGGCAACTACTTCACGAGTGCGGTCTCCGATCTCACTTCCCTTTACTATCGGCAACTGCAGCAAACGTGTGCGCATTCACTCATGATTCTCCGCACTCTGCTTGGCGCCTTGTGCCTATGCTCATGGCGCAGAGCCAACGCTCTCGAGACCTTCACAACCACCACTGAGCTCGCAGCTGTCGAGCGCTCAGCCAAAGTACACGCGTTGTTGATCCTCGGCAGGGATGAAGAGACGCAGGAGCGCAGTCTCGAGGAGTTGGCCACCACAGAATATCCGACGCTACCGGATCTTGAGAAGCAGCTTGAAGGACTCGTAACCTTCGGCGTCGTAGACATCTCGCCACACGGCAAAGACTCGATTGGAAACAAGTGGCAGTTGGCTAAAGCGCCCGCGCTCGTTATCTACAAAGACCCGCCCAAAGAGAACCCTTACACAGGCAAAATATACCGCGACTCAAAAGCTACTGATGCGGCGATCTTGGACAACCCAAGGAAGCTCAAGAAGATGCTGAAACAAGCGATCCCGAGTGAATATGTGCAAGAGCTCGAAGGAGAAAAAGCTACATTATCTAGCTTTAAACAGCTTGTGAATGAGAAGGTTAAAGAAGACGAGACGGTGGCGCTATTGATCTCCAAGCAGAAACATGCGTCGCCAATGTATCGAGCCTTAGCAGCGGAGTTTACTGGACACGGATTGAGTTTTCTGTTCTTAAATAGAGATGAGGAAGCAGCGACGGAGATTATGAACACGCTAAAGATTGAGGAACTACCCGGTATGGTAGTATTGAGGTCCATGACGGAACATGTGGTGTTAAAGGCGGAAAACACCAAGACTTACGGCGAGTTGAAGGGCTTTGTGCAGCCTTTTGCGACCCAGAAAGAACGCACATTGAAGAGTGAAGCGAAGAACGGAAAAGAGAGCTCAAAGTTTATTAGATTCTTCTCAGGAAAGGATTTCGACGACTTGGTGTTGCATTCGGACGTGGTTTGGATCATTGAATTTATGAATACCGAGCGCGAACACGCTCTAACAGAGGAAGAGTGGAAGAAATCATTGACGGAACTACATCGCAAGGCAGGAATGGTGGCGATGGGGGCGGTTAGCTGCGAGAAAGAAGCAGAGCTGTGTGAACGTCATGGTGGACCTGGAGTTCGCGTATTCCCTCTGGCTTTGACGGAAGACAAGAGACTGACACGAGGTCATGTCCTTATGGAGAGGTTTGCAACAATCGAAGAGGCCAAGGAGTCGGCTATTGCAGCCATCCCGGATCTTACTGTCGAGATCGAGTCTAATGCTGACTTGAATGGGTTCATTTCGCACGCTAGAGAGAACCGTGCACTGCCTATTCTACTATTTACGAGTAAGAAGAAGACTCCTTCAATGATCAAAGCTCTGGCGTTGTCGATTCCTACGCAGAAAATTAAGTTAGCAGTGATTCACGACGCAGACGAAGATGTGAAGAAGCAGTTTCTGGTCAAACCATCTGCTGGCACGGCGCTGGTGTGTCTCGTGCCGACTCAAGTGGATGCGGAAGACCCAACTGCAGCTCCGTTTGGTGTCATAGCGTACGAGAAGAAGAAAATGGGTGCGTATAACTATCCGAACGTCATGCAGTTTATCCTGCAAGTGCTGGCTCAATACCCACATCCTAAAGATATTGAGCCGGAGAGCGAAGAAGTCGACGTGTCATCACTTGACGAGAAGGCTGCACAGTCGCTTGTGCCGTATCTGACCAAGAAGAACATGGATGATCTTTGTGGAGGTAACAAGATTTGTGCAATTGGGTTCTTTGAAGACCATTTAGACACTCTTAGCGACCCAGAGTCAAGGCTGGCCAAGTGGTGGACAACTTTTGCTCACGTGGCTGCGCAGAGTAAGAAAAACAGAGAGCCGTTCCACTTCATGTGGGTCAATGGCAAGTGTCAGAAGGACTTCGCGGAAGCCTTCGGTGTTGGTCTCTTTCAAATGCCAACGCTCGCTGTGTACTCTCCTTCGAAGCAGCGATACGCAACGAATGTGGGTCTGTTCGACGAGGAAAATGCAGCTGCGTTCTTGAAGAGTGTACTGTCGGGTAGTATCGGCACTGCACCGATCGGAAACGTGCCGAAGCTGGGCGAGGAGTGCTCGTTTGAAGACATTCACGAAGTAACAGTCGATGCTGACGGCGTCGTGGAAGACGATGAAGATCTGGATGACATGCTGAATGAGATTTTATCTGATGAGAAACAGCAGCGAGACGAGCTGGAGAAAGAGCTTAAATCCGAGCAGAAACAGTCCAAGAAGAGCAAGAAGAAGAACAAGAAGAAGAACAAGAAGAACAAGAAGAAAAAGGCACGCGATGAGCTGTAGTCGACATCCACAACAGTAGAATGTACAGCAAGTACATGTATTACCATGTTGAAACGTTTAGTGCCTGTATCACGCATTTTATGTGAAGGCTGTTTAAACATCGTTTTATCCAATCCGATGTCTCGAATTCGATTATTTCCGACTGATTTCCCTAGCCCTTAAAATCGGCTTAATGTGTCTGCGTCAGTCACGGTACTCCTCCTCTCGGCGTCCTCCATTCATTCTCGTGCGCCAGCCAAGTTGGGCATTGTCTTCGAAAGCCGTCAGTGAAGATTCCGATATTCCTTCGACTGAAAAATGGCCAAGCGTACGTAGGCTTTTTTATTATCCTGTACAGCAGTCTCCTCGGTTGCAGCACTCCAGCGAGCAGGCGATGCGTCTTCTTCCCCCTCTCTCCAGCAAACACAGCTTTATGACACACAGCAGCACAGTCAACAGAGACAAAAATACAGGCACGACTTATTGACAGGAGGACACCACACAGGACACAATAAAGGAGGGAGAAGACGACAGCCAGTTTGCTGGAGAAGCGTACTGTGGGAGACTCGCCATACTGCAGTACTGTGAGCAACGGAATAACTGACAGAATTATCATGTATGAACAGACAAGTCTTCCGGTATTCGGCTGCGCGCGTAAGCTGCGCGTGCACTGTCGCACGCAGCGCTGGGGCGCAGAAGTCCTACAACAAGAGCCACTCGGTGACCGCCATGAAGGCCAACCCGCTCGGTGGTTCGTCCATGGCCAAGGGCATTGGTTCTTGAGAAGATCGGCATTGAGGCCAAGCAGCCTAACTCGGCTATTCGTAAGTCGTGCCGTGTGCAGCTCATCAAGAACTCGAAGAGATCGCCGCCTTCGTGCCGCGTGATGGTTGCCTCAACTACGTCGACGAGAACGACGAGGTCCTGATCTCCGGTTTCGGTCGTCGTGGCCACGCCGTCGGTGATATTCCCGGTGTGCGTTTCAAGGTCGTCAAGGTCTCGGGCGTGTCGCTGCTCGCTCTGTACAAGGAGAAGAAGGAGAAGCCGCGTTCGTAGATTATGTGCCCGTCGACAGGAAGGAACTTGTCTATGATGGCGTGTTGCAGTTCTGACACAGACAGCCTCGTGCTGCTTCGAGTCGAGTTTACTGCTGCTATTGTGGCAGTTCAATTTTCCTAATCACGGATAAGAAGGAATCGCTTGCCCAGCACGACCAGTTTTTGATTTACTACCTTATTGCCGCAGTTGCTATGTTGACACTCTTTTTGAGTTTACTCCGGAGTTTTTTTAGCACTTTTGCCACAAGCTCAACAGGTACGAATGACCTGAGTGTTGGTCTTTGGAATCCACTCAGAAGATGTAAACAACCCAATACGGCTAGAATTGTAGTTTCTCTAAAGAGTTGGATCCTTGTCAAGCGCCAACCAAAGAACAATAGCATCTTAAATATGCAGGTGGAACTCGTGCCCGTGCTCTCGGACAACTACGCCTATCTGTTGATCGACACTGCCACTCGTACGTCCCCTTCCCTGTCTCTTGTTCACACTTTAATGTGTGTGCAGTATACCTTTCAGGTGTGGCGGCAGCGGTTGATCCAGTGGATGCTGCGAAGGTCTACAGTCGTGCGAAGGAGTTGCGAGTGACCGTCTCTATGATCCTGACCACACATTCACACTGGGATCACGCTGGTGGCAATCGAGAGCTCGTTGACCTCATTAACAAGCACGAGAGCCGTCAGATTCCGGTGGTCGGAGGGCCTGGAGACGCTGTGGAAGCTCAGACACATTCCGTCACGAACGGAGACGTGGTTAAGCTTGGAGATCTGGACGTCAACGTCTACTTCACTCCGTGTCATACTCGAGACCACGTGTTGTATCATTGCCAGGACGCTCTGTTTACAGGCGACACGTTGTTCATCGCTGGATGCGGTCGGTTCTTCAGTGGCAACGCGGCGGAAATGCATCACGCTCTGAACGAAGTTGTGGCCAAGCTGCCAGAAGACACGAAGATCTACTGCGGTCATGAGTACACGACGAGTAATTTGCGTTTCGCTGCTCATGTGGAGCCGGAGAATGAAGTAGTGCAGAAGAAGTTGGCGCGGGCTGAAGAGAAGACGAAAAACGGTCAACCTACAGTCCCATCGACGGTGAAGGAGGAGCTAGCGACAAATCCATTTATGCGTGTGACGAAAGAAAGTGTGCAGAAGTTCGCAAATAATGAAAAGGACCCGGTCAAGGTGATGGGAATTGTCCGTGCTGCCAAGGACAATTTTGTGATTGGAAAATAGACGTTCGCTTGCGGATTGGAAAGAAATGGAATACTTAAAATAACAGTTAGTTAATTTTTGGTAGTGAAAAGAAACAAAGTTTTGACCAGGAATCTCAGCTGGAGGAGTATAGACGTGGAGTCCTTGCTCAAGGGTGAATTTTCTGTAAGATACGAACAAAAATTGCTCCACGCGTTGTTCTTAGATTTCTTGTCTTCTTCCTCAACTGTCTTCTCAATTTTTGCCTCGGATACGAGTTTTTCAACCTCAGTCGAAGTTCCCAGATCCAACAGTTTTATTATCTGCTGACAGCGAGTAATGTCGGCCGGTTTGAGCTTTATAGCCCCGCCAAGAGCATCCGATGAGCCGTGCAGCAGTGTTAGGATCCTCTTTATCGTGGCAATTGGCTTACCGGAATCCACTAGACGCATGATGAGATCACGTCGACCAGTAGCTTCGTTTTCGATTTTCACAGTTGCGTACATGAGCTTTAAACCTTGCGGTTCGGCAACTGAAGGCTCGAATTTATGCCTGACACGCTTGCGTGCGCGTGGACGAATCCTGAGAAGGAATCCCCAGGACTTTATTGACTAGACTGATGAAGATTGAAGGATGGAGACTTAGGATGAAGCAAGTTCTAGTGCACATGCAATGTAACCCTTTTAATTCATTCTCACTTTAACTAAGTAATCCGCAAGTCCCTCTCAAGCAAGGCCTTCCGGACCCGAGCACTCCTCTGCAAGCCACGACTGTGTCATTTTGATATATCAAATTTGAAAGAGAATCAAATTTCAATAAGCATGGGACGCAACGACAAGGACAAGTACGTATCGTACCAACTAGTGGTAACCGCGGCAACTGCTAGCACGGCTGCAGAGACGGCTACAGTTAAAATCAAGAAGTGATGTGGTGGCAGTCCGCGTGACTGGCTTAAGTGGAGCGCACAATTCCAGAGCCTGGCCCGCAAGAAGCAATGGACGGACCAGCAGAAGGCTCACAACCTCGTCGCGCTCGTCGAGGGAGACATCGAAGCTGAATTCACAGTAGCCGCTCAAGTTGCATCCGACGAGGCGAATACTTTCCAGGAATTCTTTACGGATGTGGGGCTGCTGATGGTCCCGCACGACTACAGTGAGGACCTGGACAACGAGCTGTGGACAATGACGAAACGGCGTGACGAGCACGTGCTGAAGCTCTCCCAGCGTCTGAAAGAGAACGTCCGCATGTTCGCCGAACTGCCACTGGACGCCGAGGAGGTGCTCGAGGTGCAGCAGTGCAGATATTTGAAGCGCGGGATACCGCGTGCATGGCAGGACAAGTTGTCGTCGGCGGGTGTTGTTTACGACACTTTTAGTGAGCTTGTACAGTACTTCTCGCGCCTCGAGAAGGCCAAGCGACAGCAGTCACCACGCCACAAGAATCGTGGGAGCAACAGTAATGCAAGAGACAAGGACCATCGTGGTGAGAAGAACACTGGTCACTATTCGACAAAGCGCCGTTCCAAGAACAGTATGAAGCACGGTAGTGGCGATGACGCCAGACCCAAGAATGGTACGTGTTGTACGTTCCTCAAGACAGCCTTGCATAGTACCAGCGACTGTCACACCCTGAAGAGGAGGGAGAAGGACGAACACAATTTGAGCCGCACGAAGAAGAAGCGGTATCCCCGCATTCACAACGACTTCGCAGCTGATTCAGACTCAGACTCAGATTCATGCAGCGGGGAAGACGAAATCAACTTCGTCGGCCTCGTGGAAAAGAAGACACGACCGTAGAGAGCTTCCTTGCGCGTTCTTGTGAAGCTGAGTCGCGGCGGACCAACGTTCGAGGTGCTACTTGACAGTGGTGCCTCCAAGAGCATCATCAAAGGTCCAACGCTCGATGCTAATGTGCAGCTTGGCCGCAAGCTCATCGCTGCATCACCAACCGTGTTCGAGACTATGAATGGTTCAGTCACTAGCAGCGGTACTACCATGGTACAGTTTGTTTTCCCGAAACTAAAGGCTGACTCGGTGGTTACGCATCGCTTTGAGGTTATCAAGGATAGCAGCGGCGCAATGGTAATTGGTCGAGACCTTATAAGCGCCCTCGGTCTCATTTTGAATTTTAAGGGCAAAGTTGTGCAGTGGGACGAGTGTAGTCGCGTTCTCAACACGGGTCGGAACGATACTACCAGTGCGACCGACGAAGAGGTAGAAGCCAAGAGGTGGAAGGCCAAGACTTCCCAGATGAGTCGAAGGAGGTGGCCGACATTGCGGTTGAACCTGAGCAGCTCCTGACCGACCATCTGAAGGCCCGGTTCGCCCACCACTACCTGGACCTGCTCGTGCGGTATCGAGAGTTGTATGACGGCCACCTTGGGCGCATGCGGTTTAATGATTATGAGATACCTATCACACCCGACTTCAAGCCTGTGCACCGTACGCTGTCGCGCGCAGCCACGAGTCCAAAGCAAGGATCAAAATCCAGCAGCTAATCAACACCGATGTGCTGGAGTAGATCTACGACAGTGAGGTGGCAGCACCCGCTTTTTTATGGTCAAGGCGGACGGCTATCTGCGTTTACTGGTCGACTACCGATGGCCGAGCAAGTTCCTTCGCCGGAGCCCATATTACGTGCCTCTCATACGGGAAGTGCTCATGCGGATCTCCAAGGCGAAGTGTATATCGACGTTCGACGCTAATCTCGGGTAGTATGCCCGACGCTTGGCAAGGAAAAGCACCCACTCACAGTCTTCTGCTTGCCGTGAGGAAAGTTGTAATATAAACGTGTTCCAATGGGAATTTCTACAGCCCCCGATTAATACCAGTCCTGTTTGGAAAATATTTTTGGGGATTTAGAGTTTGTCGTGGTGTATTTGGACGACATTTAAGTCTTTTCTGGGCACGAAGACGAACATTTCGAGTATCTGCGGATTGTGTTTGAACGCCGGGACAAGTACGCCGTCTCGCTGAACGAAAAAAAAGTGCCACATCATGCGCAAGGAGGTCGACTACCTAGGCTACACTCTCTCCGCGGAAGGCGTGAAGCCACAGGTGAAGATCCAGGCAATCCAGAGAATCGCCGAGCCGCGCATTTGAAAAGAGCTCAGACGTTTCTTGGGTATGATTAACTACTATAGAGACATGGTCCCGAACAAAACCACGCTGTGCAAGCCGCTGCACCGACTTACGAGCTCCATGGTACCGTTTACGTGGCTGCCGAGCGACACGAGGCTTTCCGAGCTGTTCAGCGTGCTTTTGCTGAGGCTGTATTGCTGTCGTTCCCAGACTTTGACCAGCATTTTGATGTCTATGCCAACACCAGTGGTACGCAACTTGGTGGACTAATAATACAGGGCGTCAAGATCCTTGCGTGTTATTCTCGTAACCTGCCCAAGCATCGGTTAGCTATACAACGATGGAACGGGAGCTCCTGTCTATCGTCGAATTACTGCGTGAGTACCGTACTATGCTTCTCGGATTTCCCGTCGTGATCCATACTGACCACAAGAATTTAATTTATCCAGCCGAGACGAGCCTGCGGGTTAAGCGCTGGAAGCTGTTACTTTCTATATATCGTTTCACGATAAGATACATTAAAGGGGTCAAGAACATCGGGGCAGATGCCTTCTCGAGGATGCGATTCGCTACGCGTGAAGCCAAGGCGCTAAGAGACGAGATCTACGCTGCGAGGGAGTAGCCAGAATGCGTCATGCATGGCCCAGTCATCCGTCAGCATCAAGAAGCTGACGACATGATGCAGAAGATAATAGTCGCGTGCTTCGCAGCCACAATCAATCCCGACTACCAGATCATGCTCCTGATAGGCTGCATGCTCGTGGCGTACAAAAAACGAGGAATTGCTCCGAACACCCTTCGTGACGATCTAATTTCGTGGTACCACCAAAATTTGGGACATGTGTGAGTAAGCGACGATGCGCCGCACATTTTACCGGACCGATATGGAAACTACTATATCCCTGTTCGTCAAGAAATGCAATACCTGTAAAAGTGCCAAGTTGCATGGCGGGAAGCAAGTATACGGCTTACTACCACCTCGCAGTATGGAGTCGGTGTAACCCATTTGACGAGGTACATGCTGATTTGATTGGTCCTTATGATGGTGGCTGGTACGGTATCACGATGGTCGACCAAATGACCAGGTGGGTCGAAGTTGCGGTGCAGCGGAACAAGTAGGCGCTGACGACGGCGGCGAGCTTCGGCCGTGCATGGCTCTGCCGCTACCCGCGATCACGTACCGTGATTCATGATCAAGGACCAGAGTTTACGGGCGAGGAATTTTAGGAGCTGCTACGGAGTTACGGTATCAAGGCCAAGCCAATTACGACGAAGAACCGCATGCAAACGTGATATGTGAACGCGTCCACCTGGAAATTCTCAATGTGATCCGGTGCTACGAGGGCGTCGACTGGAAAAACGTTATTTCCCGCCACCTATCGCTCTATACATTTATTATATGTAGCTTCGCTCTAAGTAAAAATTCTAAGCCCACCGCAGCGCAGCGGAGGTGGTCGGCCCTCTCTACACCAACCAACCATGCCCTAGCGTCCGCGGAGCGGACGCCCAGACCGCTAGTTTCCCGCCACCTAAACTTGCGGCCTGTCCGTCCGTCTGTCAATAAGTCCGTCCGGTTCCTTTCTTGCTGCTTTTTCCTGCCTTTTCGCATGGCTACACCCGGCCTGTCTTATATATTTTCCTCCCATCGTACCGACCGTGCCTATCTTTCTGACTCGACCTAACTATGCTAAAATTACAAATATATCCAAAAGCGTGACACAATTAACTCGCGCCCTGATTGGTTAATACCTGCTGACCTGCGACACTGACTGGATCTGTCGCACGATCAGACCGTCTATCGCCCTCGCGATTGGTCGTAAGGTAAACATTTCTGCAAAGCACGAAACGCATCGATTGGTTGCAAACAGCCAGGCGAGCTGCGCAGGTGATTGGTCGTATGTACTGCAAATCGGGCACAGTAACCACTTTATTTTCTAAGAGCTCTGCACACTTCTCAAATAG